CCGCAAGAGAAATTACAATATCGTGTATTTGCTTGCGACAATAGGTGTCAGCGGTGCGACGATCAAATTCGACAAGTTCGGTGACTCAGAGGGGAACTTCTCGGTGCTGGCCCTAAAGAAGGATCCGTTCCTTTTCAACAACTTCTCCTGCGACTTTCAAATGAAGCCTGTAGGCCAATTTCAACAGGGTGAAACTCTAGTGAGTGAGTTGTTTACAGCATTCGTGCAGCTCATTTCCATTCTCGCATGTGTTCTCGCGATAATACTTCTACGATCGTTTACGATTAATCGGCAAAAATTAATAGAAGATGGATTCGAATTATCGAAATATCAAGGGTACCGATCGTGTACAGGTGTACAGGCCTTCGGAGGCGATGGACTGGCCGGGTAAGAATAAACCGGAAGCGGAACCAGGATGCGGTTTCCTCAACGAACACTGTCCCAAAGACGACACACACCTGCGGAGCATCGTGGCTGCTGGAGTGCTGGCCGTTTTATTGTTCTGCGCCGCGGTGATCACCATGAGCATATATCGTAGGTGGAAGATAGAACAGGAAATCGAGGGATTGCTGTGGAAGATCGATCCGAGCGAGATACACGGCTATCCTCATCTTGACAACATGATGTCCTCCCCTAGTAAGGTGAGACACAGCGTTTACATTTATCAATATATTTGTTAATACCACTTTCATTGTTGAAACGTTATTTAACTCTTAGTCCGTCCTTCATTTTTTGAACTGAATGAAAATATAAATAATTAAATTTGCAGATTTATTTAACGATAGTTTAAATTTTTACTCAATTCTATATAAGATTCAAGACGCTCAAGAGTCTGCATTTACAGGAAATTGGAAAGTACAAAGATATATACAATTGTTGTAGCATTTTGTCAAAAATGTCAAACATATATGTCATGTGTTAGGAAAATAAATGTTACAGAGCATTACCTCTGTATCTGTATGCTGCAAAATAATATTTTATAAGAAAAATATGTAGGATCAAGTATAACTATAAACATTAATACTTACACGAAACGTTATCATATAAGTACCAAGATCAAAGATCTAAGATTTCAAAGATAAATATTAAAGAAAAAGATTAAATATAATTATTGTTTTGTACAGAATGATTTATGCGACTGTAACATGTCATATCTTTTTCTTGTTGAAATTGAAGGGAAAAAATGTTGCAGGACAAAAATAGATGATTCAAGGTCTTATAAATATTCACGTATTCCGTACGTCTTCGACATATGCAATAACGCACATGCACTTTACAGTTGCACTATTTTGTTTCAAATCGGAATCCCCTCGTCATTCTAATATTCTCCAAATATTTTGCATTATCTTCGTGTCTTCCGCAAACATATCGAAAGCCGTATTTTGATTTTGGAAATGGCATTGAAAGATATAGCATTATAACATCGTAGTGTTAAAATATTCTGTCGTATGAGATATTCTCCCTGTATTATATTAAAAAGATTCTGTAAATATTTTTCAAACTGTCGCACTATCTTCGTATCGAACTTGTCGTTGCAGTTAAGCTTAGTTAGTGCAATGTCCTACGAGTCAAGATGCGGGGGCCAGGTGTTCGCGCAAACCGGGCATTACCACGGTGTGGTGGTGAGGATAAAGGAGCTAAAGTTCTCAAAGAAGAAGGACATATCCAGGGACGTGATGAAGGAGATGCGTATCCTTCGCGAGATCAGGCACGGTAACCTAAACTCTTTCATCGGGGCGTGCGTCGAGCCAATGAGGATATTGTTAATTACGGACTATTGCGCCAAAGGAAGTCTTTATGTACGTCACCTTAATACACGAATGAACGTGGTAATCTGGTCTGCTGGTGTTTTCAACGAATGATTGCATTGCGTGCCTGTTTCAGGATATTATCGAGAACGAAGATATCAAGTTAGACGATATGTTCATCGCGTCATTAGTTCACGATCTCATTAAGGTAAGTCTGTACACACGTTCGAACTGGCAAATATCGTAAATACATGTGTAATGCCGATTGCTTAAGGATTGTAAAAACCTTTTTTCACTTCGTTGCAGGGTATGCTGTACATTCATGAGTCATCTGTGCTAGTCTGTCATGGTAATCTGAAGTCCTCCAATTGCGTGGTGACCTCGCGATGGGTACTCCAAGTCTCCGATTTTGGCCTGCACGATATGCGACACTGCGCCGAATCCGACAGCATTGGTGAACATCAGTATTATCGAAGTATGAAAAAAAAACAGGACAGTACTAATATACATTGCATATAATAGAAAATATTATGTGCAAGTTTACGATTTTCGAAAGTTAATTTTAGAATTGACTCTTTGCATTTCGAAATTCATTTCAATGAATTAATTTAATTGTGCACGGTCAGAGAATGCAATAATATTTATGCCAAGCACGAGTTGTTGAAAAAAATGAGCGACACCAATACAACTAGCATAGGATTAACGCGCTACTTTATAAAAATTAGCAATGAGATGTCACACTATACAATATTGCTTGATCACTAGTCCTTCAATTGATATTTCTGGCCCGATTTGTAATTTAAATATTCGTTTTACACAGACCTATTCTGGAAAGCACCTGAGCTATTAAGGAATCCCAATGCTCCGATCAAAGGGACCCAAGAAGGCGATATTTACTCGTTCGCGATCATATTGTTCGAGATAATCGGACGAAAGGGACCGTACGGTGGCGTGAATTTAGAACCCAAAGGTAAACATTTGTACATTCCGTGTACAATAATTGATTGTCATTCGTTAATCGGCATTTGCCAAAAGGTAAAGCTGCAGAAATATAAATATGAACGTTAACAAATTGACAGAAATCATAGACCGAGTGAAAAGATTCCCAGAAGATGGTGAACCGCCGTTTAGACCTAACATAGATATACTGTCCGAGTCTGAAGCGGACTGTGCTGAGTATATAGTTAGTACGATAACAGACTGTTGGGCGGAAAGTCCAGAACTTAGACCCGACTTCAAAATGATACGGACGCGATTAAAGAAAATGAAAGCGGGAAGGCATCGCAATATCATGGATCAAATGATGGACATGATGGAGAAGTATGCGAACAACCTCGAAGATCTAGTCAGTGAACGTACACGCCTTCTTTTCGAGGAGAAGCAAAAAACCGAGGATCTACTTCATAGAATGTTGCCCGAGTGAGTTTGAATGTAGAAATTCTTTCATTATTCTTTTCCTAATCCATTCGAACTATAGTAAATAGTAAATATAAGAATACTTTCGTGATACATTCTATATGTCATCATAATCAAGCGAATGTATGAATATATTTATACTCCACCAAGTGTTATACGCTATAAATACGTTCAACTTCCTTTCTTTCTTATTACTTTATAAATATAAATTACAACTTCTTGTTATGAATCAAAATGGATCCAGTATCTGATTCTGTAGTCGACCATGCGAGATTTAAAAAGGAGAAAAACTTTACAACGCATGTTGTGATACTATTATCCGTTTCTTACAGACCCGTAGCAAATTGCTTGACGAATGGAATCGGTGTGGAACCTGAAGCTTTTGACTTGGTTACTATATACTTCAGCGATATCGTTGGCTTCACTGCAATGTCAGCGGAAAGCACACCTTTCCAGGTATATTTTTCGCAGAATTCGCAGAATCGTCGAGGAAACAAGATACACAACTTCTTGCAGTTCTTAATTTCAATTCTCTCGCGTTTTAGGTTGTAAACTTTTTGAACGACTTGTACACTTTGTTTGACCGGATAATCAAAGGATACGATGTATATAAAGTAGAAACGATCGGCGATGCCTACATGGTGGTAAGAAAATTATTTTCCAAATTTTACATACGACTATTCATTCATTTATATACTAAACATTCTGTAGTTGAACATATAGTGTAGTTGAAAGTATAATTCTATAACATATTATTTTTACCAGGTTTCTGGTTTACCAATAAAGAATGGAAACAGACATGCCGGAGAAATTGCATCAATGTCCCTAGAACTACTTAATGAAGTGAAACATCATACCATAGCTCATAGGCCTCAGGACACTCTTAAATTGCGCATTGGAATTCATACGGGTATTGTGCATTGAAAAAGAATGTCAGACTAAAAATAAACGAATAAAAATTACATAAATATACATGGAAAATATTGCAGGACCCGTGGTGGCCGGTGTTGTTGGTTTAACGATGCCTAGATATTGCTTGTTCGGAGATACCGTAAATACAGCTTCACGTATGGAATCGAACGGCGAACCATTGCGTATTCACATAAGTGAGCAGTGCAGAGATGCTTTGGATAAGATCGGTGGCTACATCATTGAAGAACGTGGATTAGTTCACATGAAAGGAAAAGGAGAGGTGAAAACTTATTGGCTCACCGGAGCCACTGAAAAAGCTATTCAAAAACGAGAGGTTTGTACAAAAATCAGTGTGATGATATTACCATAGACACAGATTTATTTAATCTTTATTTCTATGTTATTAGGTTGACGTTGGTGATCTTCCACCACTATTTTGTAGACCAAGGAGAAGTCCGAAATTAAATTCAGACTCTCGTCAGGCTTCGTTGTTAGCTGGTCTAGGAGCAGGCAGTCGCAGACAGTCGAGTGTTCCAAGACCGATACCGGATGACACTTCGTCTCAGTATGGAGGATCCAGTCCAGTGCCTAAATCACTTAATTCTCGGAAGATAGAACGGTCTCCTTTGTACTTGACCGATAGCGTATCGAAGATAACGCTGGTGGACAATGTGTTGCAAGAAGACGGTAAAACTCGAGCGGCTAACATTAAGATGGCACTCGACGATTTCTTTATTGACACGAGGCCGAAATTTAGGAAAAATGCCAGAGTTCTGTCAACGATTGCCTCGTCGTCCTCTACGAGCGATTATCCGTTTCAGACGATAATACGGGAATCACGTTCGTTAGATCCTCTCCCGTTGGAGCTCTATAGCAAGAGGTTCGAATCGCCGAATTTCTCTTGGAAGGAGCCAAAGAAAAGCTTTCGATCGCTGGAAAACTGTGAAAAGTGCACAAGGACTAACTCGAAGACGAATATCTCTGAGAAAGTGTTGAATAATAATTATCCAAATGGTAATGTAATAATAGTGCCCCATACTGACGAGTCGCCGAACGAAGCAGAGACACCATTACTAGGAGATGAGAGCGGCTGTATGGGAGAAATCATGCCTGTTAAACGTTGGCGTTCTCTCGATCAAGTGGTATCCGTTCCTAGTACAGACAGTGTGCCCGACAAAAAATCGTCCGCAAGAAATTCGATCAGAAGCTGGCTGGTAAATCTATTTAGCGGCAATGGATTACGCAACAGCGATGTTTCGTTAAGAAGAGGTGTAATAACAGGTTACGATATGCAGTCGGAACGGGAAAGTATAGTTTGATACAAATCAATAAATCAATTTTGTAAACAGGAGAAAGAAAGGAGTTCAATCTTCTACTATGAAACGTATGAGTGCAGAAGAACGTTATTAGATTTATGAGTCATAATAAGCATGATGTATTGTTGCCATCTTTTTTAGCATATAAATATGTGGAATGTATGGGTATAAAAGTTACCGATCGTGTATATTTTTAATACCTATATTTTATGACTTGTATTAAACTACGCTTTATATTGGCGGCAAACATGTTTTTTTTTTTTTTTTTTTTTTTT